CGAGGCAACCTTGGTGATGACGGACACATGGCCTTTGGCATGAGTCATGGGTTTCCTAAATTTTTCCAAAATAAAATATTTAGGTGGTAACTTTGTATCTGGCATAGCAGTCCATTTTTGGCAATTTAATTCAAATTGATTTTCCAAAAGATTTGCCGGATTTGGACTCTTTGGTGTTTTTCTATTTCAGATTACACTTGTGAGATCATATTCAAAACCTCGGGAGTCCGAACTGTAGGGCTTATTCGTTTTCCAAAAAGGGCACGAAAAGTCGAGCTACACTTGGGTAAGCCTTGAACAATCTAACAAAGGGATTTAGAAATACTAAGTTAAGTTCGAGCATTCAAATTGATTTCAAGACTTGCAAGTTAAGTTGTTTTTAATGCCTTGTTCTTGCTTTGTATGCAGGTCAATTTTCGGAAGAGAAATCCTTTGATTGAAAATCCATTTGTGAGTAGTAGTATAGTAAAGTTGTATTTGTTAAAACTATGATTCGAAATGCAAACCTATGCTATGTTTATAAAAATTAACATATTGTTCCATTTCTCCCTCATCAACATGATTAAGAAGCCCCTTTTTCTTCATTACATGTATCACACAAGAAAAACATTACTAACTTTGGAAGTAAATAAAATTTATTTATAAAATCCCCAACATGTTCTCCCCAACCCCACATTTCTAGGGTTCTTCTTCTAAAACAAACATTTCCCCATCTTTTGAAAGGGTTTTCTCTCAAGACATCACCCCTCCTATTATGTGAGTTAAAGTCCTCAAGAAGATAGTTTAGGAAGAGAGAGTGATCAAACCCACCTTTAAAACCCTAGCATTTATGAGACAAGACCAAACTTTCAATATCATTAATGAAACCTTTAAATCAACCAAATCTAACATAAATATATATATATATATATATATATAACTCAAGGAAATTTCCCTACCTCAAGGTTTTGATGAAGAAGAGGAGTTGAAACCCTAAGATTGATGGTGCCAAGAACCAAATCTATACCACACACAAGAGAGCTCTTGAGATGTTCTCAATCTTTGATGAAGGAGTCAAGGTTGGATCTCAATGGATAGAAGAAGATCAAGGGTTTTAATCTTGCCTTGAGGTTGAGATGTAGAGACAAGGGAGAGGGATACATTTTTAGAGAGAGAGAGAGAGAGAGAGAGATGAGGTTAAAATGATATACAAACAGCCCAAAAGAAGAAAGAAAACAGTGCCTCGGATCTGCCCAGATTGCCACATGTGCGGCATGTGCCCCTCACGTGTGGAGCCTCACTCCCGCACGTGCAGCTTTCAACCCCGCACATGCGGCCCTTCCCGCACGCACCTTGCTCTGCACCTACATATATTGCAGTGTGCTGCCCCAGCTCTCCCCTCTCCCACATGTGCGGCTAGCCAAATAGCCTAGAAAAAAAATGTTGGCTCAACCCCCGGCATTCCGGACCTGACCTCACGCTCTCCAGAACACGTGATATTCGACATTGAACAAAAACAAGAACAAGAATGTTAAACTTTGAGAGCAATTTCTGAACGTTTCAAGCCCAATCAAAAATAAAAGAGGGATGAAGATGAGAAAGAAAGGAAAGAGAAGAAAAGAAAGACCCGGTCGTCATAGGCGGAGGAGCTGACGGAATAGGTGGGGCGAGGTCTAAGTTATGGGGGGGGTAATACCCTATCACTCTATAAATTTATTTATTTTTTAATTTTATTTTTTTCCCATATGAATTCCTTGAAAACTTCAGCACATATGATTATTATCAAAATATTAAACTTTAATATAATATAAAAAATAGAAAAAAGGACAAAGTGGTGAAACACAATCCGTGCATAGCACGGGTGATATGCTAGTATTATATAAGGAAAATGGGGTTTTTAACTCACAAGCCTTATGGGAGCTCCAATGTCTCAATCCTAATTTTCTAATTTTTTGATTTAAAAAAAAAAAATTAGCATTTATTAATTTCTACCAACCCCCATGCATTTTGGGAGATTTGGTCAAAATCTCTTCATACGATAAGTTTTTTTGTATTGTCCATTGTATTCTCGTTTTTTGCACTTAAACCCTTGTGGGGGCCGAATAAGTTTGTTATGTACGGAGGCTGAGTAACTTGAAGGAAGAAACCAAGTGTTATATGGCTCTATCACAGGGGGACGGAGGCCGAATAAGCAGATCGGCTGAAGTATCTGGTGAAGACCGGGCCGAGTACGAGCGATTAGCCGAATGAGGGATTATTCAGTGGACGAAAGGTGGGCCCAACCATCAACATCAAGGGCGACTATAAATAGGAAGAGCATCAGATAAGAGGGGATATGTGAGAACAAGTAAGTTTAACTTGAGATATAAGCAACCAAGAGAGCATATACTGACTTATCCGTCGGATTGCTAATTCCGGCACCCCCAACCGGAGTGTTTATTCCTTTTCAGGTGACTAGCTGAGGATCTCGAGCGTCCTATTAGATCCAAAGAGTATTTCCAAACCACTTCTCCATAATTGGCACCATCTATGGGAATACTCTATTGCATCCATGGTAGGCGTGATGGAAGATCCTTCGGTAGTCGCTAACGACCTTACGCCACGAGATGATACCACTCCAAGCAACATGCTTGGGCCAGAGAACATTACCGCACGAAGGGCCTTGAAGTTTAACTCACCCTCGACATCAGCACATGAGACAATGCAGGTGATTATGGATCAGGCGAAGCAGAATGAACAGAGGTTAGAAAACATGATGGCTGAGAACGAGCGCCTTCAACAGGATTTGGCCTTGGAGGTGGAAAAATCCCAACAGGCCGCGCGCCAAGATCCGAGACGACCTCTGAGAAAGGATGGTTGACGACCTCGAACTCAGAGACATGATAGTGGCAGTTATTTCGACTCCTCATCCCTAGAACCTGAAAAGAAAGGACAAGTCGAAGTCTCCAGTTCTTCCGAAGGGAGTCCACACGCACGGAATAAACGAAGAGGAAATGACTCAGATGAAGAAGACCAACATGACCCCTTTGTGCGACGGATCGCAAGGGCAGTGCTACCCAAAAAGTTCAAAGCTCCATCGTTCACCCTATACGATGGAAAGTCAGACCCCACAGATCACATCCGACATTATAAGCAAGCTATGACGCCACATGCAGACGACAAGGCTCTCATGTGTCAAATATTTCCTAGCAGTTTGGGACCGTTGGCCATCAAATGGTATTATAAATTGGAACCAGCATCGATCAAGAACTTCCATCGACTCCAAAAATCCTTCAGGGCAAGATTCATCATTAATGAGGTCCAGCCGAAGTAGGCCGATTCTCTCTAGCAATGCAAATCCAACCAGGGGAAACTCTACGAGCGTATTCAGCGCGCTACTGGGAATGCTTTAATCTCGTAGATGATGCTTGCAATGAATCTATGGCCATCACCGCCTTTAAGATGGGGTTGCATCCTGATAGTGCTCTCCGCAAATCCTTGACCAGAAGGCCCCCCAAAACAGTTTGGTTGCTAATGAATAAAGTTGAGGAATACTGCAAAGTGGAAGATGACGCTCTGCGGGTCAAAGTCGGGCACAAGGCCAATAAGACGGCCCCATCTGAAATTGTTCAGTCGGTAAATTATGTACCATCATGGAGCCCTGAACCACAGAATCGCGCTAAACGAGACAAAAGACGAGACTCGCGTCGATCAAATGACCAATGTTCCCACCGAGCTAATGAATAGCTTCAAGTGGATAGCAGGCGCACAAGGCCCGCGGATAAGAAATATACGGAGTTGTCGGAGCTGATTAGCACAGTTATGTCTAAAGTTCAACACCTTCCATTCTTCAAATGGCCACCCAAAATGGTGGGACCTCCCGACACGAGGAGATGGGATAGGCGGTGCGAATATCACAAGGACCACGGTCATGATACCGACAGCTGTTATGCGTTGAAGGATCACCTTAAGGAGTTCGTACAAGACAGTCAGCTTAAGCAACACGTCTGAAAGAACAACTCAACCAAAACAGTTGCTTTACGACAGGATTCACCTCCACTCGGCGTAATCCATATGATATACAGCGTGCCGACGGCATTTGCAATACATACAATTCAGTCGCATCCTAACCTTCGAAAGCAAATCACATTGGCGAAACAGCCCTATGAAGCTGCGAGTATTTCTTTCGATGATTTTGATTTGGTTGGCATAACGCTCCCCCACATTGATCCCTTGGTCATCGAACTACGTGTAAACCGATTTACCATTGAACGTGTCCTCGTTGACTAGGGAAGTACTTTGAAAATTATGTACTACAAGACCTTCATCAAACTTGGCTTCACTAAGTCGGACCTGTCTCCAGCTCATTATCTGTTATTTGGCTTCAACGCTAATCTGGAGTATTCGTTAGGCAAAATCACGTTACCAGTTCGAGTGGGCTCCCGATCAGTGGATGTGGAATTGTTGGGTGTCAAGCTTCCTTCGCCGTATAATCTCATCATGGGATGAACTTGGTTGCATACCATGCAGGCCGTGCCAAGCATCTATCATCAACTACTTCGCTTCTCGACTGAACGCGACATTGAACAAATTCATAGTTCCCATAAATCAGCACAAGCATGTTATGTTCTTGCCGCAAAGACACCGAGAGAGTTGGAAGTGAATTCTATTGAGGTGTCGGATCTAGAGAGCCTCGACGATGTTGGGTAGCTCCCAAGTGAAAAGGAAACCAAAGCCATGGATCGAGTTGAAATTGACGGGAATCCTGACAGGTTCTTCATGGTCGGCGTTTCCCTGAATAAAGTCGACAGGTAGCAGCTAATTTCCTTCTTACTCGGCAACCTTGATGTATTTTCATGGTCACCATATGAGATACTGGGGGTAGATCCATCTGTTTCTCAGCATTGTTTAAACGTTGACCCCAAATATAAGCCGGTTATTTAGAAAAGCCGGCGGTCAGCCGCAGAACACATTGCTGCCGTTGTCAAAGAAGTTGACTGGTTGCTTGATGCCAGGGCAATCCAGGAAGTCACCTATCGTACATGGCTTTCGAATATTGTGGTTGTAAAGAAGAAAAATGGGACTTGGCGTGTTTGTGTGGATTTCACAGACTTAAACAAAGCTTGTCCTAAGGATTGCTTTCCTCTCCCTAGAATAGACTAACTCGTAGATGCCACGGCACATCATCAATATATGAGCTTCCTGGATGCCTACAGAGGCTACCATCAAATTGCCATGCATCCGAAGGACCAAGACAAAACTACATTCCTCACTCCAAGAGGAACCTATTGCTATGAGGTCATGCCTTTTGGGCTGAAGAATGTGAGGGCAACTTACCAAAGACAAGTCACTGCCATGTTCAAGGAGTAACTCGGCCGTACTATGGCAGTGTACATTGGCGATATGGTGGTCAAGTCCAAAGAAAAGCAAACTCATCTAGCTGATCTGGAAGAGACATTCGGCATTCTACGCAAGTACAAAATGATGCTGAACGCTTCCAAATGTGCATTTGGGATCGGATCTGGCAAATTTCTTGGCTACATTGTTAACCACCGCGGAAAAGAAGCCAACCGAGGCAAATCACAGCAATTCTAGAACTCGACTCTCCTCGATCGGTCAAGGAGGTTCAAAGCTGATGGGGATGACCGCCGCATTCAACAGGTTTATTAGTCGTTCCACAGATCACTGCCGACAATTCTTTCATACTCTTCGGCAGGGTAAAGCTTTTGAATGGACCTCTGAGTGCAAAGCTGCTTTGAATGGTTTGAAGACTTACCTCCGATCAGTTCCACTCTTGACAACACCTTCGGTAGGTGATCCGCTCATTTTATATCTGGCAGTTTCCGACCGGGCCGTCAACGCCGTATTGTTAAAGGAAGAACTTGGGGAGCAGCGGCCAGTTTATTATGTGAGCAAAGCAATGGTTGACGCCAAAACACGTTACCTTCCGTTGGGAAAACTCGTCCTTACTCTCTTCATGGCAGCAAAAAAACTGATGCATTACTTCGAGGAGCATACCATTGGGGTACTAACGGACTATCCCCTCCGGTCAGTACTTCATAGTACAGAAGCATCAGGGTGCGTTTCAAAGTGGGCTCCCGAACTCGGCCAATACGATATTCAATTTCTACCTATGACCTCAATCAAGGGGCAAGTGATCGCCGACTTTGTGGTTGAATTCAGTAAAGGCCTCGCCAACTTTAAGTCTGATCAAATTCAACCCAAGTCGGGCTGGAGAATCGCGTTTCAAAGTGGGCTCTCGAACTCGGCCAATACGATATTCAATTTCTGCCTATGACCTCAATCAAGGGGCAAGTGCTCGCCAACTTTGTGGCCGAATTCACTAGAGGCCTCGCCGACTTTAAGTCTGATCAAATTCAACCCAAGTCGAGCTGGAGAATTTATGTTGGGGACATTTGGCAGTTGTATTGCGACGGATTGTCCAACCAACATGGCAGTGGGGCAGGCGTAGTGATCATGGCTCCCGACGGGGCAATAATAGAGCAGGCTGTCAAACTGGGCTTCGATGCATCGAATTGTTAACCGGCTTACGGAATGCACATCTCCTTGGTGCTCAGCGTCTGCTTGTCTTCTGCGATTCAAAGCTAGTTATCAACCAATTGAATGGGGAATACGCAGCCAAAAATGACCATATGACAGCTTACATAAAAAGGCAAATTCTTTGCTGGCAAAATTCGACCATCATGAACTAAATCAAATAACCCGGGATCAGAACACACATGCAGATGCCCTGGCTTGCCTAGCCTCCGCCATCAACTCAGAAATTAAATGGACAATTGAAGTAGGATTCATCCCTGAGTCGAGCATTTCCCCCTCAGAGTCAATTCAAATCAGTATCATAGAATTAGGTCCAAGTTGGATGGATCCTATCACTACATTCCTATCTTCCGAACAGCTCTCGACGGATAAGAAAGAAGCGCACAAACTGTGAAACAAAGCCCTGTGATATTACTTAGATCTACGAGGAAAGCTCTACAAAAAATCCCTTTCTGGTCCATACCTAGAGTGCGTCCATCCAGATAAAGTCGAGGAGCTCCTAACTGAAATACATGAAGGTAGTTGTGGTGCACATTCTGGCGGACGGTCTTTGGCTCATCGAGCTGTGACACAGGGGTATTATTGGCTGACAATGAGAGTTGATGCCGAGTGTTACGTCAAGAAATGTGAACAGTGCCAGAAGTTCTCTCCTTTAACCCATATGCCTGCTGAAGAGTTGAGCTCTATCACTAGTCCTTGGCCGTTCACCCAATGGGGACTTGATATCGTTGGACCATTACCTTGTGCCCCGGGCAACAAGCGATTTTTTATTGTCGCGACAGATTACTTCACAAAATGGGTCGAAGCGGAGGCACTAACGCACATTCGAGATATTGATGTTAAGCGTTTTGTATGGAGAAATATCATAACATGATTCGGCATTCCAAGAGAACTTATCTCAGACAACGGCACCCAGTTTGATTGTGGAGTTTATCGAGAATTATGCAGCACTTATGGTATTCGGCCCTATTTCTCCACCCTGGCTTATCCACAGAGTAATGGTCAAGCTGAAGCCTCCAACAAGGCCATCTTGGACGGCATCAAGAAGAGGGTGGAAAAAACTAAGGATAGATGGGTCAAAGAATTGCTGAGTGTATTGTGGGCTCAACGCACTACTCCGTGGTGATCCGCTGGGGAAACGCCCTTCGCTTTATGCTTTGGAACCCAGGCAATCCTCACCTTGGAGATCGGACTCCCAACCTTGAAATCGAAAGTTTTTGATATAGGCCAAAATGACATGATGTTGGCCTTGGAATTGACTCTTAAATCCTTGGGAGGTGCGAAACCTCCGGTGCATTGATGTGCACAGTTTTTCGTGGCATATAAGTCCAATTGTATCAGTTTACATTCCATGTGGCATGCGTGCCTCATTCTTGCATTGTTATGCATGTTTCGTTGGTCTGGCGAGACCTTAAACACGCACGGTCCAGGAGACCCTAAATCCTCTGAAGGTGCAATTCCTTTGGTGTTTGTCGTGCCCGAACAACTTTCGGTGGTCTGGTAAAGCCACCTGCCTATGGTTGCGGTGAGTTCCTAGAAGACCAACTGGGACGGTGGAAACTAGAGTTCGAACGGCTTATGCCTAGAACGCAAAGGTTCGGGAGTTCCAAGACTAAAGTCTGGTTTAAATACCCAGGGGTGTATCCTTGGCTTGAAATCTGTATGGAAGCCCATAGATTGAGGCGGCATGTCGGCACCTCAGTTCTGGATACTGAACCA